TTACCATGGATTTACTGTAGTAACACTAACTGTACCATGGTATTGTGGCAGAAATGAGGAATATTCATACAGAATTTTATTATATTATTAATGTAGACATTAAATGTATTAAAGGAGTAATACATTTAACTGTAATGGAATATAATTACAGTATTTTTTTTTGTGATTAAGCTATAGCATTTGTGCATTTATACTAAATGCATGGCTTAACTGTGGTTATCGTGATCTAAATGTACGCTACTATGAAATACCAATGGTTAATTGTAATATAACTCAAACACTTAGAATATTTACATTTTACCATAAAAAAGAGGTTGTTACAATTTTTACATATGTTACTATTTTTGTTAATGAACATAAAGTTGCATCTGCATTCTAACTCAAGCTACTAGCCTACTACTGTCAACTGTCATATTATTGTCATATTATTAATATTGTAGCCTGCACTTCAAACTGTCTAAAGATTTGTGCCATCAAACTCAGGCAACACAAACCTGTTAAATATATTTGAAGCAATATCACACGTTAGCACAAGAAACTAAGAAATATTTCTATTAAGATATTTATTTTATTAAGGAAAAATGACTGGAAAAGTGTAAAGAATTCAAAAACGTGACGTGTCTGTCATGTTCTGACAATAAAGAGTAGTTTAAAACCACAATTAACGGTCTGGTTTCTACAACTTTCACTTAGGAGCAAAATATAATAAAGATTTGAAATTTATCGTGATAATTATCGATATCGACTGATGTGAAAAATTTTACCGTGATAATTTTTTTGGCCATATCGCCCAGCCCTATCTGCTTCTTCATATCATTCCAGACAAACTGGATGATGGTGAGATCAGATCTCTGTGTTGAGCACTGGCTGTTGTCAGACTCCGCGTGCAAACAAAAATCTCACTGGATTATTACAATTAATGGCAAAATGAATGTTTGGAAATGTAAACTGATATTTCTTACTGACAAACGACAGCAAAAGATAGAAATAACAGACTTAAAACTATTTTTCAATCTAGTGAAAATACTACTGTTCTAATAATTTTGGCCACCACTGTATATGTTGAATGCATTAATGCAATGATGAAGCGGATGATGTTTCTTAGTCAAAATCCCCTCAATGTTCAGCTTCAGCTCATAGAATGAATTTTGCACGTTCACAGATTGTTTCATGATAACCAACAAAGTGTAAATATGATGTAAATAAGAGATTAATTGTGCAGTGTAAACAGCTTTTTTGATTATAACTGCAATTTTTTCAAGAGTGTGTAACTCAGTGAGATTTCATTAAACTGAAGTGATTGACTGCTTCAGTGATTATAAAGCACATGTTCTTTGTTCACTTTTGGTATATAACCCATTCACAGTTTGAAGAACTAAGTTTTGACCACTCACTAAAAGCTGCAAAGTTTTGAGAGTATTTAAATTCCTAACTGTATCTGAAATTGCAGGGATTGACAAAGTGATAACCAAAGCAACGGATGACACAAAAAATATGATATGTCAATAACTGGACACGCCGGCGCCGCTGTCTCTCTCACTCATATAGAGAGGGAAATCCACCTGCGATCCGAGCTGAGAGGTTAGGGTACTCACGGACTGAATATGCGCTCTGCAATAATAATGTGATCGGTTCCTATGGTCCACGCTGATAGCTGTTCCGAGGCAGGTTTTTAGTTCTCATCTCCATAAATATATATATAGTAGTAGAGCTATTACAGTAGCTGGAAATCTGTTTATCCTTCTGTTCCTCATGCTTCCCCATTTTCATAGAGAACGTGGTTCATGGTTGCTCAGAGCGCTTTGGAAAGAAGGTGAAAATCGCAGCCACGATTTCCACACATTTTTAGATGCTGGGAGCAGGGAAAACTATTTAGAGCGCCTTATTGTATTAATTAAAATTTCGATATTCGGGCCAGTGTATCGATTCTCGTATTGCATGGAGAAGGACAACGATATATCGCCATATCGATATTTTGTCCCACCCCTAGTTGAAATAATAAAACGTATTATTTTGATGGCGGATTGTAGTCCAGAAAGGTCCAAACGACAATCATCAGTGACAACTGGAGATTCACCCATTGTCACACAAGATTTGTATTTCAAAGAGAACCAGTTCTAAGTAAGGAATAATTGACGACGGCCCGTTGAATTATTAGAAAATAATGCACACCTGAGGCGGTGATGAGGCCACGACGCACGGTTTGATGTTTTATGAGCTAACCGATCATCAGATTTAATCACCATTGGTAGCTCGATTTATTGTAATGCTTTTTTTCTCAGTTGGTCAGAACATTTTACTTTACTTGTTCAGATGACATTTTCCGGTAAAAATTCTGATTTGGGTTATACTACCAAGATGTAGATTCTGTGCATCGAAAGTACAGTATCCACACCGGTGCGGTGACTGACAAGTACACATACTCCTCAAAACATTAGATTCATCCGCACTGAGGAGCCGTGCTGATGCACAACCCACGTAAAGATGATAATTCCGCAAATAACTGCAATTGCAGGTTTCAAACAAAGATGGCGACAAAGAGGCAAAACTTACAGCTGCAGCTTTAATTAAAAACTATTTGAAGACTTTGTTAATGTTTATTATTATCATATATTGTTTATTTTTAAAAACATTAAATGTTCCCAATACTTTACAGAAATTGGTACAAAGAACTGTGCAAGTTTACTGGTATTGGTCCCAACTAGGGCTGCACGATAAATCGCATGCGATATTTAACGCGCATCTCTGTAATCTGACGAGCTGCGCAAAACCACGTTCATATTCGTGCTATTTTTTGCGCAGCTCGTCAGTGAACAACGGCTCTGTGTAGTTAATGCTGCTCAATGTGAAAGCACGCACGTGATGGAGATTTACCGCTGATTACAGAACCGGCTTTACTGATAAGATGCGCGTTAGATATCGCATGCGATTTATCGTGCAGCCCTAGTCCCAACTACTGAAATTTTGGTATTGTGAAAACACTGCACATGACCCTAAGTTGACTGTAATGCTTTGTTCAATGATATAGAAGCTGAGGTTGCCATCTTGGCTCCAGCGGGAAATTAAACTGTACCATTTCAGTCAGCAACGGGGGTCCCGAGATCTTTTTTCAACAGTTTTGATTATTAATTTACATACTATTTTAATTATGAGTAAATTTGTATGGTTGTACGGTAAATATTATTGTTATTGATATTATTATTTTGGAGTTTATCTTGGTTTGGGTTTATTACTGAATTTATGTTTTTTTTTGCCTTTGGGTTTCTTTCTTTCTCAAGGGTTGAAGTTATATTTTGTTAAGAGGTGTAATTTCTAATTTTCAGGATTTGCTTTTGCCTCAGGATGGTTTCTTTAATTTACTTGTTCATTTGGGACAATATTTTGCATGCCTACCCCTGTATGATTTTTTTTTTTTTGTAATCTACTTTCTATCCCTTTTTCAACAACTCGTGTCCTCAGTGTATAACTTGGCCAGATTTATTACAGTAACCAGACTGAAAAAAAGACTCCTTAAAACAAATGTTGTCCTTTTGTTGTAACCATTTTCTGGAATTAGTTTTTGAAAGGGACATTGCACATAAGTGAAGCGGTTTCTGATTACGCCTATGGCTGCCAGATTGATCTCTGGTGGTCTGATATGCTTTTTCTCTTAGAGAGACAGTAATTGAGCTATATCACTGTTCAAAGATACCAATGTTGTTGTTCTTCAAAAAAAAGAACAAAGACATCTTTGACTTTCTTTTGCTGAAAGTACTTTAAGCTTGTTAAATGTGGATCAGACCAGCCAGGTTTATATAGATGGCTCCGTCCAAGCCTGCGGTTCCTCTGAGATTCATTAAATGATAATGGACTGATGGGAGCGTTCAGACTTTGTCTTTCGGAGCCGTGTTGTTGGGGTTATCTAGGTTACCCAGTGCCAGGTTATCCAGCTTTCAGAGTGCAACAACAAAGAAACTGACTCTCTCTCTCTCCTTTTCACTCACCATTCTGGATTTAGACCGTACACTCTTAAAAGAAAAGGTTCTATATAGAACCTTAAAAGGTTCTATCAGGCGCTTCATATATGGAACCCCTAAAAGGTTCCATATAGAACCCTTTTTAAGGGTTCAATCAAAAGAACCCTTTAGGGTTCTTTGTAGCCAGGAAAAAGGTTCTATATAGAACCCTTTAGGGGTTCCCATCATGGGATTATTCTTTGGATTTAATTTTTGTTTTATTTTAATTAAATTTTAAGACTTAAACAGCCTATATAGCTACTTTATCACTAGAAAAACTGAAATAACCATAAGCATAACACATCAAGGTGTTGTGTGATCATTTAAGACCCTTTTACAGCAATTCATAGTGCAACATTTTTCTTTATTTATTCATACTTTTTATTAAAATAGCACTCTCCATTTTAGAAATATTTTTTCAACCCCCTCCACCTTACTCACCCATCGAACATGTCAGTCACAAATATATGTTGATTGCTAGAATCCACCCAAAAAAACAAAAAAACAATTGAATGTTAACTTGCACAAATAAATAAATTGAAAGTTAACTTGCAAAAAGAATTAAAAATAATTAAATAAGTAAAATTAGAATGTGAAAAAGTAATCAAATAGTATATTAATGACAGTCCTCTTTTGCATCTCACCACCAGGTCTTTACCCTTTACCTTAAATAAATGTCAAGTATTTACTCCACATTCTCTTATAAACCAAGTAGTCTGACTTTTTTTTTTTTTTTGTATACTGCAACTTTTGCCAATTCTGTAACCCATGAAAGATGGTGAACCACATTTCTGAAAAGGGAGCTAAAAGACTAACTAGTAGTATTGTTTTTAATTTATAAGCATTAAATGTTAATTTTACATTCAGATAAGCATTTAAACAATAAAAACAAAGGACCCATGACAATTTCAGCACTGGGAAATAGTGCTGATTGAAATGAACTGAGTGATGGCTTTTGGATGCTCCATAGTACTTAACAAAAAGTAGACAGCAAACAGATACTTCTGGCATATCTGTGTTATTGGTCAGTGACACATCCATTTTGATGCTAACTCTCCTTGCGATGAGTAGGCTTGACATCCTAAGATGGGGATACAAGTCAGAGAAACATTTATTAGACCTATGGAGAGTACAGTACAACAGGAAAAAGAAAGGAATCTCTCACAATTAAATACAATCTTAAAACTTACTTGAATTAGAGAGGAGTGTGGTGTTTTCATCTGAATGTAGATGACCAAACAAGTAATGCTGCACTCCATAGTCCAGACCTGCAGTGACAGTACAAAACATTTATTTATTTATCAATCAATCAATCATAAGAACCTGCATGATAAAATGTGGAAAATAGAAGAAGAAAAAAATATATCAGTAACTTCAGATTAGCTGATTGATGAGTTTCCCAAAGTTGATACTGTGAGGAAAAAGAAATAATGTACCTTTTGTGTTATTGTTTTGCAGCAAGTTA